CCCGTGGCAAAGGGCTGACTGTTACTGAGCATCAGGTGAAGGTAGAAAAGCCACTTCTTTCATGCAGCCTCTCAAGTGAGAGTGAAATTGTCCTTGGTGAAGTTACTTGGAAAGTAAAAGCTATAGGTCTTCTTGTTTTATAACCTTTAAGAAATGCTGTAGCAGGAGAAAGCTCAGATGTTAGGAGAGGGCAAAGCATTATATCTGTGTGATATATCCCAACTTCCAGGGAAGAACAGTGTGTGTTCAGTGTGAGACTGTGAAGAGTCTGAATGACTTAATGTAAACTCAGAATAGAACTTTCAGAGGCTCCGGGGTTGTTGCTGGGCTGATCAGTATTGGATTTGGAGAAGGACAAGATCAACCTATAAACACCATTCCCTGCTGTGTCCCTGCTGCTTCCCTTGCATTATTGCTAAGGTGAGGAGATGCCAGCAAAAAGCTTGTACAAAACAGCACTTTTCTCCCCTGTTTGGGGTTTGTTGGTTGCAACTCTGAAGTTGTACAGGGAGACTGACTGAAATCAGCAAGAAATGCCTCCCTGGCAGCTATTTATGTGTGTTTTGCTTTGGTAAAGAACCCTTGCAAATCTGCACTAAACTAATGAGCCCAGTGCATTAGTTTAGAGCCTTTGGTTTTCATTGTGCCAAGAGCAAACAGCTTAAGAGCAGCTTTTAGTGAGGTGTAGCTGGCACAGAGCAGCTCTTTGCCCTGCAGCTCACATGTTAGTCCTTGGCTCGTGTCAGAGCTCCATACACATGTTCAAGCTCATGCTGGGTCCAGGCTCCAAAACCTCAATGTGGTTTGGTGCACAAGAAACTCAGAACATAGAAAGTCTGTGTTCTTGGCAAGTTCAGTGCAGGATGGGCTAACTGTGCCAGTTGTCTCTTATCTGCTGGTTGTAAATCAGTCAGCTCCCTGAGCTCAACTGAGTGAGCTGCAGCCAGCCAGGAGTGCTCCTCAGCAATTAACTGCAGTGAGTCCTCTGCCTCTGTTTGGGAGATGGGAAACAGAACACTGGAATGTTTTGGAAAGACTGAGGGGACTTTTCCAGAAGTATTATCTTTTTAATTAAAAATCCAGCTCTGGAGGCAAGATAAATGTAATCACTGGGCAGTGCTTGTTCCTGGGCCTCTCCTAAGTAGGTTATGTTTACTGTTCCCCATTAGGCTGGAGCTGCAGTTGACTGGATCCTGCTGGCTTTCATAATAGTCTCTCTGCCTTGTTTTCAGGTGATTAAATCAGCCAGGGCTGTACACTGAGCACAGGGGCAATATCAGTTTCTTATATGTTATAAACTAGGTCAGGGGATGAAACAAAAGGACATGGCATGGAAATGTCTTTGGGGAAAAACAGCTCTGCAACAAGTATAGGAAATAATGAACCAGTATGGAAATGCTATACCTAGTGAGCATCACTTTTTAATGAAAACTATAGTTTCTTTCCTAAAGGAACATCTGTTCCACATTTCTACTACATGAGACGTATTTAGGCTTCATTCTCAGTGTTTCAAGTGTCCTCATGTTCAGGGTTTGAGGGGAGGGTAATGAGCTATTCCAGTAGTATCCATTAAAATAAAAAGCAGTGAGTTATTCATAAGGATATGGTCAGGAATGGACAATATTTGTGTTTATGTTGTAAAACACCTTTTTCTATAAGACATTTCTTTCTCTGTCCTCTTAAAGGGACTAGTCAGGCACAAGTTGGATTGGAAAACAACATAGCAATAACAAACCCTTTGGTAAAACATAAAATTTTGAATTTTAAACTCTTAAAACTAAACTGTATCCTTATTTTTGTTCTCATTTGTGTGAGGAGTTGATTCCTTGTGCATTCACACTTCCCAGAGGCCTGGCGGATGTTTTAAGAAAACATCATTTGATTTCCTCTTTTTGTTTTCCCCTTTCCTCCAGAAATTCCTGGCACTACTGTAGCTTCCAGTTGGTGTTTGCTTGTTGGTGGTGTTAGTGGTTTATTTGTTCTAATTAATCCATTAGCCTTAATTAGAAGGAATTGCCTCGGGATGCTTTGCTTTGCCTGGGAGCTGTGTGAAGCTGTGACCTGGGGCAAAGGTGCACCTGGAGATGGGGTTGGAAGTGCCCTGGGGCTCTTTGGTCACAGGTGGGTGTTTGTTCCCTGCAGATGGTCTAACACCAGGAGACACAGAGTGAGGAGCTGCCTGAGACATGGTGTCCAGTCCCAAGGGCCAGAGCAAAGTCATGGAATGGTTTGGGTCGGAAGGACCTCAGAGCTCATCTCATTCCACCCCTGCCATGGGTAGGGACACATTCCACCAGCCCGGATCACTCCAAGCCCCATCCAACCTGGCCTGGAACACTCCCAGGGATGGGTCAGCCACAGCTGCTCTGGGCAACCTGTGCCAGTGCCTCAGCACCCTCACAGGGAAGAGGAGCAACCTAAAATGCACTGAATTTAGGCTCCATTTCTATTATTTCCCAGCAGCCTTTATCTGCTGTAAGTTGCTTATCCTGCTGGCTCCAGCTAGCTGGGTCGGAATGGCCTGTGGGCTCGGAGTGGGCTGGGTGGAAATTCCCCAGCATGATGTTCCCCCCAGTTCAGCTGCTGCTTCACCCTTCCAAAGCTCTCCTTGAGTTTTTGATCCCTGGGGCATTAATGCTGCTGCACGTGATGATGGCAGTTAGTCCTGCTCCCTTTCTTGGGATTTTAGTGTAGATTTAAATTAGATATTGGAAAGGAATTAGATATTGGGAAGGTGTCCTCAACATAAGAAGGACATGGAACTGTTGGAGCAAGTCCAGAGGAGGCCATGAAGTTAAGAGGACTGGGGCATCTCCCCTATGTACAGAACAGGCTGTTGTTGGGGCTGTTCGGCTTGGAGAAGAGAGGACTGCATGGAGATGTCATAGCA